TACCTAATACAGTGTGAATGCTATATAGTTACATTGTTATACTGTATTAATCCTTTGTCCTAATGAAGTCTAATAGTCTCTGTCCTTAACTGGTGTTTTGACAATCTTTGCAGTCAGTAAAATTATTATGTTTTGTGTAGGAAAATAGTGAATTATCTATTTTGTTACTTAGTGATTTTTTTTGTATGAAATTCTAAGATAATTTTTAATATTTAATCTAAGGAAAAGCATCACTTCTCTAGGAAGAGTTTCAATTTATTTCTTTACTTGGTATTGGGAATTGAATCCAGGGTAGCTCTGTCACTGAGCTACCTCAGTCCTTTTCTATTTTTTACTTTTGAGAGTGGGTTTTGCTAAGTTGCATACTCTACCCTTGAATTTATAATCTTCCTGTTTCAGTCTCTTTATTCACTGGGATTACAGTCATGTACCACTGAGACCAGCTTATTTCAGTGTTTGTAATGAAATGTGGTTTTATTTTGTCAAATATACTTAGTCTTTCTATAGTACCTTGTCAATGTTCAAATTCTACCAACTTGCTAAATAGGACTCTACTTTTAATTATTCCTCTTATTCTATAAAGCCAGTCACTATATCTACTTGTTTTCATTCTTTTATAAAAGTCCTCTCCTCATAATAGTCATATTTCAAAATCTCCATTTAGATGTCTAATAAGTGCCGCAGTCTGGCTGGGCACAAAATCACGAGCCACTCAAACAGGAACAAACTTTATTTTTGAAACTGCTGCCAATGCCCTGTATGCTCCCAGGAAATATGCTGACCTTGAACAGGAAGTCCCTCCTCCGGAATTCCCTCCTACCACACTTCCCCAACCAATGGGAACTCTCCAGGAGTCCCTAGCAGGCTGAGGTGGACAGCAGAGGTCTAATATCCATATGAATGCAGATCTTAACATAATCATATCATCTCAATGGCCTGCTGGCATCACCGTCACCTTTCAACCAAAATTGCCATGCATCATACTACTTAGCTATGGCTCTTAGCAAATAAGCATTTTTTTTTTTTTTTTTGAGTCAGGGTCTCATTATGTTGTTCAGGCTGGCTTTGAACTTGAGATGCTTCTGTCTCTGCCTCCTGAGTAGCTGGGATGATATGTGTATGCCACTGTGCTCATCTCTTAATAGTCATCTTACACTTTAAGTTGTTATCCATTACCTTGTTACTGAACGTTATTAAACAGGAGAAGTCAGAGTGGACTTTGGGATGCCAAATCATGGAATGATTTGTAGCCATTTTAAAAAACTTTAGCTTTTATTATTAAGTGAAATATGTAACTACTGGAGGGGGATTATTACTTGCTTGGCAGGAATTGAAAGAGTATTTCCCCACCCTTAAGAAGTCACAGATTGAGTTCTTCAAATAAGTAGGAAATTTTAAGCAAATTTGAAGTCGTGAAGAAAATGCATTGCATTTTCAGTGTCCTGGAAGACTTTCAATTCAGAGGGATAATAAAGTGTATAGTTGAATGTGGTATATGTTGATAGTGGAGAAATTATTGTGTCGGGCTTAAGAAGTCATTATAGAAAATGTTAATTCACAGAGAAGTATTAGAGTAGAATGAAACATTCATTGTTTCTAAGATAGATTGGAGAAGAGTGATACTTGGATGGTAGGACCAGTTAAGAATGTTTTGGTAATTTAGGTAGAAATAGTATTTGCTTAAGGAGTTTTGCATTAAGGGGACTACATCAAAATTAGTAGGCTTAGTGGCAGGAGGAATGATAACATCTGATTTTTTTTCTATATAAAGTGTTAGATGTTAAGAATGAGGTGCAAAGTGGACAATTTTGAGGAAACTGAAAAGGTCCAAGCAGGAACCTAAATTCTTTGTGTCACTTATCCCTCTAGGTGTTACTGGAGAACTAAAAGGATACATGGCATAAAACATTTTTAAAGAGCTCCTGGTAGATTGTTTTTAGGAGTTTTTAGTCCCGTATGGGTAGAGAATTCCTTTTCTTAGAGGAGGAGTAGCTTAAGTTTTGATTATTACACACTAGAGAACGAGAAAGTGATAGTGCTAGTATAAATATATACTGGCTTTGCTAACCTGGTGGATAGAAATGTTGTAGTTTTCAGTCTTAGTCTGTAGGAGGTAAGGTTGTATATGATTTATTTTGGCATCTATAAAACCCACATTAGCATTCATACTGAACTTGTGGTAAGCCAGCTTTGCAAGGTTTGCTTATAGTATGTTGTGAGTTTTTGTAAAATTGCTGTTATAACCAGACACCTTTTTAAGGATCCTTTGTAAGGAATATGGATTGATTTTTAGTTCAGGTGAATACCCACTCACTCACCCCTACACTTTTTCTTAGCAAATGTACAGTCATCTTTAAAAAATCTTAGAATGATGTTGAACAATTACTTTAATGGTAAACATGGATTTCTTCCATTAAATGCTTTGTGGTTTTTGTTAGATTTTTATTCTTTTTTGTTTTTTTCAACAAGTGATTATATTTTGAGCTTACTTTAAGTCACTTTATAAGGAGATACAAACCATCAAATAGAGATTCAATGAAGAGGGAGGGAAAGAGGAAGAATTTTAGATTATATAGAAAGACAGTGTTTTATGACTGACAGTGACCTACATAAAATGCAGATATTTTCTGTCAGCTCTGCAATTCAGAGGCAATATGATGGAAAAAGCACTTAAATATTAAAAAATTAGATATACTGTAAAATATTACTGTTTTGCTCATGAGACCCCTTGGCTTCCCTTTCTCCTCCTCTTTCCTTCTCTTTCCTTGTTTCTTCTGTATTTTTTCTCTTGTGGTGACTAAGAATCCCCCACCCCTTTTTATATTTTCTCAGCTCTATCTGATCAGTAATCTCTTTTACTTGAATATTTCTCAATAATACATTATTTAAAAATACTAGCTACTGAATCAGAAATAAATTAACCATAATAGGAGTCTTAGGAAGTATCTCATTGTATAGGTGAAAACACTGGGTACATAAAATGGAGGAGCTGAGTGTTAAATCAGGAGAGTTTGCTTCTAGAGTTCATATGCTTTACCACTAAAGTGGTGCCCTGTAACCACTGATTTAATAGTGAAATTTGATAATTTATCTATTAGTAGATTGGCTAACTTCACTTAGTATTATTTTCTCCAACACCATCCATTTACCAGCAAATGCCATGATTTTATTCTCTTTTATTGCTGAGTAATATTCCATTGTGTATATATGACACATTTTTTTAATCCATCTACTGAAGTGAATCAAGGTTGGTTCCACAATTTAGCTATTGTGAATTGTGCTGCCATAAACACTGATGTGGCTGTGTCCCTATAGTATGCCGTTTTTAAGTCCTTTGGGTATAGACCGAGGAGAGGGATAGCTGGGTCAAATGGTGGTTGCATTCCCAGTTTTCCAAGGATTCTCCATATTGGTTTCTATATTGGCTTCACCAATTTGCAGTCCCATCAGCAATGTATGAGTATGCCTTTTCCCCCCACATCCTTGCCAACACTTATTGTTGTTTGTCTTCATAATAGCCACTATTCTGACTGGAGTGAAATGATATCTTAGAGTAGTTTTGATTTGCATTTCTCTAATTGCTAGAGATGATGAACATTTTTTCATATATTTGTTAATTGATTGTATATCCTCTTCTGAGAAGTGTTGGTTCAGGTCCTTGGCCCATTTATTGATTGGGTTATTTGTTTTTTTGATGCTTAGCTTTTTGAGTTCTTTAAATACCGTACAGATTAGTGCTGTATTTGATGTGTGAGGGGTAAAAATTGAAAGGGAGGGGGCAAGGCGTTAGCAATGATAGTGGAATGTGATAGACATCATTATCCAAAGTACATGTATGAAGACATGAATTGATGTGAACATACTTTATATACAGAGATATGAAAAATTGTGCTCTATATGTGTAATAAGAATTGTAATGCATTCCACTGTCATGTATTTAAAAAATAAAATCAATTAAATATTTTAAAAAAGAAAGAAAATATGTGCACACAATTTTCAGGGGCAGGGAGACAGCTTTTTCATGGACTCATTTGACCTATATGTAAAAACTCTTGTTACTGAGCAAACAAGTAAAATCTTTCTTAAACATATACTTTTAAGCTTTATTTAAAACTTTTTGTTTATTATAATTTTAAAGTTGGTGTTGGAATTTGCTTTAAAATAAGACTTAAGTTAATTCATCTAAGTTAAAATAACAGTTTTTGAATGAATTTCTGACTTTTCTATTCTTTTTTTTAAATTTTTAATATAAACACTCTTTTTTAAAAATTAACACTCTTTTGACATTCCCATTTTTTATATTCAACAATCACCCTAACTTTAGTTCGATTTAATCCGTGTTAACTTTTAAAAATGGTTATACTTTCCCATTTTAACGTTTCAGTCTTATGTTATCTTTGGCCAAAACCTGTAAATTTGACATAATCTTGTTTCAATTTGTGTTTCTATAACAAAGTAGTTGAGACTAAAGCACTTTATAAAAAAAAAAAGGTCATTTATTTAATACACAGTTCTGGAAGTTCAAGAGACTAGGGAGGGGTCAGGCTACTCCTGTTGGACCAGCCTGAATCTCTTTATGGGGATGGTCATGACCCAATCACCTCTCAGTATGTTTTACCTCTTAAAAGTCCTACAATCTATCATTACCATTTACATTGGGAAACAAACTTTAATCATAGAAATCTTTGGTGGGGGGTAAAGAAGGAAACACATTAAAATCATAGCATTTGGTTGAGGTCCTTTTGTGGTATGATTTCCTGAATTTCTTAATTAGTATTTTACTAGTTAAATTTGCCTAAAATTGTTATTGTTTTATACAACAAAAAATCCATATAAATAATTCATATTCTAGGATATTTTAGTACTTATATCATTAGTTTTATTGTGTGTTTTCTGCCATTTTTTAAAAATTAGGTGGAAGTATAGCATATAGACATTATGAAAAGGGATTTGAAGTTTCTCCTGATTGTAGGTGTCATTCTTTGAAAATATTTTTTCAGAAACTGTTTTGCCTGGGCCTACCTCACCCTTACCCTCTCCAGGGAATGGGAATGAAACTGCATCTGGATCAATTGCTCAGCCAAAGAAAATTCGAGGAATTGGATTTGGAGATATTTTTAAAGAAGGCTCCGTGAAACTTAGGACAAGAATATCCAGTAGTGAAACAGAAGAGAAAAAAACAGAAAAGGTGGCAATGATGTATTTATTTTAGATTAACTTCACTCATTCTCACATTAAGCTTTTTTTTTTTTAATATAAAGAGCAGTTTGTAACTGTGCTATATTTTCCTTCTTTGAGATTGCTAATAATTTGGTTCTGAATGAGAAGTTCCTGAGAAACTTTTGTTTCCAAATTTGCATGGATTAATATTGTTTGAATCCTATAAAATTAGGATGCTATTTCATGGTTAACTTAACATTAACTTATTCTAAGTGGAAGTTTTAGGTTTTGTGTAAATCGAAAGGTGAACATTTTTTTCTGTAACATTTTAATTTTATACACACCTAAAATGGGCTATTTTAAAATGAATTTAGAATGAGATATTAAATTAATCAGATACCATTTAATTTTACTTTGGATTGTTAATAATGGTTAAATTTAATGATCTGCCCTCTGAGTTTTATTTTTCATTGGCATCATACTGGCATTTTCAAAAGAAATAAATAAAGTAAGTGAACTATTTTGGGAGAAAAATTGCTGGTCTTTAGAGTATTTTTAAAACATTTTTGTTCCTATTGTCAATATTTTTGAGAGTCAGAGTGAATACTTCAGGTAAGAGGCATTTCCTCTGACTTTTAGGGGCATGTTTTCCCTGTAGTTCTCAATTGGATCTCTTTATCTAACATTTAAGAGTTTAAATATTTTAATATTTATTTGCTAATTTTAACTACATATCATTTATTAAATTGTACTTGGTTAGTGAAAAACAATTCTGTAATTTTCTCCCAGGGTGATTTGTCTCAACCCTTTTTTTCACTCTGAATTTTTCCATGTAATAGTGAGTTGAGTTTAAGAAGACAACCTACCCTCCTTCCCCTCCCTTCTTCCCTTCCTCTGTCCTTCCTTTCTTCCTTTCTATTTTAGAACTTTCACTTTCTACAATGTTATTGTGTGGCAATAATATTATGGAGTCTAATTGGTGAAATTTTCAGTTTTTAAAATCATAATCTATTTTTTTTTAATTTTTGAAAAATTGTAATCTACAGCCATACAACAGAATATAGGGGAAGCAATTCTTGTGTTATAAGGGACATTACACTAGATGATCTGGGGTCCCTTGCAATTCTACAAGCTTATGATTATATTGAATAACCGTTTGATTAATGATTATATTGGTAATCTTTCAGTCACCATTAACAAGTTCCACTACTCAGTTGTTCATGAGAATAGTCTCTGAGTTACCACACAATTTGATAAATAGGGAGTACATTTGCTATGTTAGTAAGAGGACATCAGATTGGAAGATATGGTGGTTAGAACTGGGAGAAATTAAAATTAGTGTTTTGAAAGATAAATAGAAAACAAAGAGTGACAGCTAAGTGTGTTCAGATTTTTAACTAATGGAAACCCAAGGTCAAATGTTCTGTTATTTCTAGAGAGAATTCTTTGAAGGACTTTACCAGTTACAATGGAAAAATGCCTAAGTGGACTATCTAAGAGTTGTAACACTTACAAAATATTTTCAGATAGTAATAAATAAATCATAAAAAGTTTTATTTATTTTTTAAATCTGCTTTGTTATTTTAAGGTTTAGTACTATTAAGAGTGGACTTTCTGGGGGCTGGGGTTGGGGCTCAGTGGTAGTGTGCTCCCTCACATGTGGGAGGCGCTGGGTTCAATCCTTAGCACCACATAAAAATAAATTAATAAAATTAAGGTATTAAAAAAACTGTGCACTTTCTGGAGTCAAACTTTATAGATTCAGATCTGGGCTCTACTTCTAAATATCTGTTATTGTGGGGAGATTATTTAACTGCTTCTTAATGTAAAAAAAGGAGGAATAATATTTATATAGATAGAAGAATAAATTATGATATGCATAAATGCCTGTGTTCTCATTTTAGAACTCTGAGAATGTTTATCATCCTCAAGGAGTTTTAAAAATTAGCAGTTATGAGCTACCACTTGAGGAATGTTCAAGATCTCTATCTTTCATTGCTGAATTTTCAGTCTCATTATTATCCTGACTACAAAAACTATAGGGAAAGCTGGGTGATTGTAAATGGAAATTTTGTTCAGCACTAGTATCTTTATTCTAACTTAAGTTAGTTGATATCATCCTTTTCTGTTTTAGCCCTTAACCATACAGTCAATAGGATCCAAAACGAGTGTGGAGATAACAAAACCAGAAACTGAAGGTAAAATTAAAGGTAAGTTTTTTAATAAAACCTTCATAGTAGAAACATACTTAAATATATTGGACTTTTTGAAGGCATTTAATGCATGCCACTACTTATCAAAGTATTAATTCCTACTAGATGTAAGCCCCATAAAGTTAAGGATTTGGGCATGCTGTGTTCATTGATGCACCCCACTGCAGTTAGAATTGTGCCTGATATGTAATATATATTACATTTAGTAATTACTTGAAGAATGATTAGCAAAATTGTTTTTTTAATATACAGTATTGGCTATAGTTTTTAATTTTAAAATTTAAAGATGAATTATAAAGTTTATTATTAATAGCTTCTTATATATATTTCTTTTCACGAATAGAGGCATAATAAGTATTTGCTGAATCAATTTGCATCAGCCACTATTTATATTTTTTATTTCAGCTAAAGAATACTGTAGAACATTATTTGCCTATGAAGGTACCAATGAAGACGAACTTTCTTTTAAAGAAGGGGAAATAATCCATTTGATAAGTAAGGTAAGGTGGTTTTCAGTGAGTCATTTAACTTATCCATAGGCATATATTGCTGAATTCGTATATTGCCCCTAGAATGTAAGCTCCAGAAGAGCCTTTGTCTTATTTGTTTCTGAGTCCTCAGAGCCTTACATATAATTAGCACTCAGAATGTTATTTTATTTGAGCCATCTTTTTTGTCTGTTAGATCACATTGCTTTTTTTTCTTTATTAATTTGAGCTTCCCAGATTTCTATACTAAATTTTTTTCCACTCCCCCCTCCCCACCACCATGTGTTGTTTGGAACTGTTGCAAAGAATGAATTGATTTTATAAGTTGGAAAAAATTCTGCAGAAAATAAAGGGAAAACCTTGTAGTATTTGATGTGGACAGAATCCTATCTTAAGTACTTAGAAAAAATGATAAATATTTCATTTTTACTATAACATTGCAGATAACTTTTGAAATTTCTCCCATTGGTTTAGACTTTGTTATCAGATGAGTTTGTATGTAATTTTTAAAATAAATTTTATTTTGTATTTTTAATGTATGTACCCTAGTGAAGCAAATTTTTTTAAAAGAATTTTTATTTTTTTATACCTTTATTTTGTTTGTTTATTTTTCTGTGGTGCTGAGGATAGAACCCAGTGTCTCACACGTGCAAGGCAAATGCTCTACTGCTGAGCCACAACCCCAGCCCCAGTGAAGCAAATTTAATAAATTCATGATCTCACATAGTTACCCTTGTGGTAAAGTAGCTAAAATCTACTCATTTAGCACAAATCCCACAAATGTATGTAATTTAATATCCATATAGTTTGAACTCATGGTACCTAATTTTTCATTCAAGCTTTTAAGATCTTGTTAATGTCTAAAGTTGCCAAACAAGTAATTTTTAGTATATTAAGTGTTACGGATAATATTAAGAAAGATAGTTTTGAAAGTCTTACTTTCCCTTTCTCTCTTTACTTTCTTCTCTTTCTTAATTCCTTTCCTTTTATCTCTTGCCTCTCTCCTAAGATCCTTTCAACTTTATAGATAGAATCTTAAAAGTTATTTTCAAAAATTAAACCCAGCTGTAACTCCTGATAAATGTAACATGTGAGGTATACTCTGTTTTAGGAGGACCTTATGATCTGTTTAAGTTGGCTTTTTCTTGTAATGATATTGGAATTTATTATTTTCTTTTTGTTGAAAACCTTTTCCTTATGTAAAGATAACTTATTATTTTAATTATATTTTGCTATGCTTTTCAGGAGACTGGAGAAGCTGGGTGGTGGAAGGGTGAACTTAATGGTAAAGAAGGAGTATTCCCAGACAATTTTGCTGTTCAGATAAGTGAACTGGATAAGGACTTTCCAGTAAGCTTTTGTTTTTCAATGATGATACTACTTTAACATTTTGCCAATATTTTTTTCAAAACAGGGTTTTTTGCCTTATTATTGAATAACTTTCATGAAACAGTCCTAAAATATGTATTGAATTACAGTAAAATAATATTATAATGTTTCAGTTCTATGCTTTATTCCAACCTCTCCCAGCCCTCGCTGACATGTCTACCGAAATGTAATCTTAAGACTTTTTAAATTTTTTTTTTTGTACCAGGGACTGAACCCTTGGGTACTTAACTACTGAGCCACATCCCCAGCTCTTTTTGTTTTTTATTTTGAGATAAGGTTTTACTTAGTTTCTTAGAGCCTTGTTAAATTGCTGAGGCTGGCTTTGAACTTCCAATCTTCTTGCCTAAGCCTTTGAGCCACTGGGATCACAGGCATGTTCCACCATGCCCTGCTTAGATTTGTTTATTTTGTATTTTAAAAATAAAAAAAAGCTTGGGTGTATTATTTGGATTAATCAGTACTCTCCTGGAAGAAACTTTTTTAAAAAGATTTGAGCCAGTGTTCTTGGTGTTTTGCCCTGGAACTCAAAATCCTCCTGACTCAGCCTCTCAATTAGCTGAGATTATATACTTGTGCCATAACACCTGGCTGAAGGAAACTATTTACATTGAATGTTTTTGAGAAGGTTAATGTTACTTAAAAGTACAGTAAAGCACAGTTTTTGCCTCCTTACAAGACCTAATGTTTCTCTGTCAATTCTCAGAATAAAGTAAGGCTGAGCCATGCATCAATGACTAAGGTAAAACTAAGTTCATATTTAGAACTGTGTCTCAATTTTTAAAGGTATTTAGTCGTAAAAATGAACGAATGCTTGTAAAAGAAAAAGAGGCCATTGTCTTTAACTTTCCCTTTAAGTTCCGAAGAATAAAGAGTGAAAGCTAGATCTATTTATAATTGATCTTATTAATTTTTTTCAACAAGATCTCTCTTCCTCTTGTCCTGCTACACTGCCTTACTGCCTTGAACTGAGAAATATAGGTAAAATGGTATTTAGCAATCTTAAAGGTAGTGGAGATAAGAGGGAACACTTTGCTTATTAAGATTTTGGGGTTTATTGAATACATTGATAGTTTTTGAAATATTTAACTGGATTTTGATCAAGGAGGTTATTTGTTCTAATGGAATAAATGTTTTTCAGTGATGTTTTGTTAGGAGTTTAGCATTTTATCATTTTTCACAACAATGATATGAGAGATATTTGTATAATTTAGATTATTAACGATCAGTATTTATTTTAACTATAAATATTTAATAAGTAGCTAGCTAACCACTTTTGCCATTATTATTTTAACAGAAACCAAAGAAACCACCACCTCCTGCTAAGGGTCCAGGTATGTAAGAAACGTAATGTTTAGTTTTCTGTTTTAAGTTCTAAAATGGTAAGATTGTGCTTAATATAAACCACTAATTTTATTAGTCAAATCAAGAATAATATATATAAGTTTTTCCAGAACTATATAAAAATTTAATGTTCCCATTCATTATTAGTATTTTAAAAAGTAAAAATGGTATAAAATAGGTATATCTGGAAGATAATTTAGCTATTTAGTTATATGAAATACCTAATTAATAAAATTGATGGGATTTAAACCTATTTTAGAGAACTGTGTATTGACTTGGCCAATTATTTATTCTACCTATTTATTTAGGTATTGGAGATTGAACCTAGGGGTTTGTAATCAGTCAGCTCCTTCCTAACCCTTACCTTTTTATTTATTTTTGAATTACAAAATTCTTTGTACAACATTTTTTAATATAATAATGATTTTGAAAATGAAAAAATGAAGTCATATGTATATAATTATATTTATAAGTATGTGAAATCAAAAGCCATACAATTATAAACATTAATGGGGCAAATCCAAGTAGAAATGAAGACATTCCCATACTTCACCAAGCATTATGTACAACCAATCTTTTAGTCGTTTTCTTTTACATTTGCTCTGTAACCACATTCCGTGTATCTGATTTGATCTCTGAATTTCATTTTATGTTTTATGGCTTTGTCCATGAAATAATATCATGGCTATTGATCTAGGGGGTTGAATGTTTAATTTTAGTACTTATGGAGCATGGAGAAACTTTTTACTCCATAATTCCAAATAGAACCTTCTGCCTTTTTAAATAAAACCCGTTACTATATGAAAAAAAAATTAATATTTATGTGCTCTTATTTCAAAGATGATGCTAAGAGTAAAGCAAAGTAGATGAAGTTTTTGAATTTTTAAACAGTTGAATAAATATGATACACTAAAAGTGTCAAGTAAAAGTCTTATTAGAGTTTATTTCCATGAGTTCTATTCCTAGATATCTGATTTAATGCAAGTGTATTAAAACTTATATTTCCTTGAAAGATATGCTGTTTTTATAAACATGCAAGCCCTTCCCTACTCTTTGGTTTTAGCTTTATATTTGCTGATCTAATTCTAGAAAAAGCAATAATTTAAAGTAATTTTTATGGAAGTTTGTGTTGGAGGCTTACTTGAAAGCTGTACAATTCAATGTGGTAGTGACTAGCCACATGGTGCTTTTAAAATTAATTAAATAAGATAAAAAATTTAGTTTTTTATTCACAAAAGCAGCATTTCATGTACTCATTAGTCAAATATAAAACAACACAAAGTAGAACATTTTTACCAGCACAGAACATTCTACTGGACTAGGTGTAGCAGAGGTTATGAACTCTGATTTGACAAAGAAGGAAATAAAACCAGAGTTTAGGATAATGTTGGCAGGTTCAGGATTAGAAATTGAGCGAGATAATTTTTTGTTCTTTTTGTTAAATCATGCATGGTGTCATCTATTTTTATTTTAAAACTACTATTTAGTTAAATATCTCTATGCTATAAAATTATTTTTAAATAAGCATTCATTTTTGTTCCTCCACTACCACCGTCCACCAGCTCCAAAGCCTGATCTCTTAGCTACAGAGAAGAAGTTTTTTCCTGTGAAGCCCGAAGAAAAAGGTGAGTGATTTTTCTACTTTCAAAACAAAAACATCTTTTATTCATTTCATTTTATACAAATATTGATCTCCACAGTGGATCATTTATACTGACTTTTAACATGTGATCATATTTAATTTGCCATGTTTAGAGTTTTCTGGGAGGCAGAAATTTATCAAGACTCACAGGAAATAAAATTTTCATTCATAAATTAATCCTTTAAAAAATTAAACCATGTCTTCAGGAAGATATAGTATTTAAATATAGTTTTTTTTTTCAAATAATATTTAAGACAACTAAAGATTAAAAACTGACATAGTATTTATAGTATTTCAGTTAAAGTTTTAAAAATTCCTTAAAAGGTATAAAGAAAGTTTCTTCTAAAATATGGAAATAATCCTCCGTATCCACTGGGATTACAGGCACGTGCCAGCAGTTCATAGATTTCTAGTGTTTTTTTAAAGTCACTCCCCCCCACCCTAAACGTTATCAAGTGACTTAAGTAATAACATTCCTATAACTCTGCTATTAAAGTGAATATACGACAAGAAATAAAGACATATTCATCTTTTGACATAAGTTAAAATTTAAAAGAAAATCATTTTAAAATATGGAATATGCTATAAAAATTTTTCCTTTTTTTTTTTTTTTTTAAATACCAGGGATTA